ATATATATATATTTTTTTTGAGACGGAGTTTCGCCCTTGTTACCCAGGCTGGAGTGCAATGGCACGATCTCGGCTCACCGCAACCTCCGTCTCCTGGGCTCAGGCAATTCTCCTGCCTCAGCCTCCTGAGTAGCTGGGATTACAGGCACGCGCCACCATGCCCAGCTAATTTTTTGCACTTTTAGTAGAGACGGGGTTTCACCATGTTGACCAGGTTGGTCTCGATCTCTCGACCTCGTGATCCACCCGCCTCGGCCTCCCAAAGCGCTGGGATTACAGGCTTGAGCCACCGCGCCCGGCGGAAAAATAATTTTTAAAAAAATTTAAAAATGGCCGGGCGCGGTGGCTCCCGCCTGTAATCCCAGCACTTTGGGAGGCCGAGGCGGGTGGATCACGAGGTCGAGAGATCGAGACCAACCTGGTCAACATGGTGAAACCCCGTCTCTACTAAAAGTGCAAAAAATTAGCTGGGCATGGTGGCGCGTGCCTGTAATCCCAGCTACTCAGGAGGCTGAGGCAGGAGAATTGCCTGAACCCAGGAGGTGGAGGTTGCGGTGAGCCGAGATCGCGCCATTGCACTCCAGCCTGGGTAACAAGAGCGAAACTCTGTCTCAAAAAAAAAAAAAAAAAAAAAAATTAAAAATACAGGTTAAAAAATCAGTATAACTATTTGCACAGCACTTACATTGCATTAGGTACTATAAGTAACCCTGAGATGGTTTAAAAGTTATGAGAAGTTGTGCATACATTAAATGCAAATACGACACCATTTTATAGTAGGGACTTGAGCATCCGAAGATTTTAGTATCTGCAGGGGGTCCTGAAACCAATCCCCTCCAGATACCAAGGGAAGAATGATCATAAGAGAATGAGCCTGTATCTGCAATGTTTTGGTCTGCGTAAGCCAAACATCAACTCTCACTGTGCAGTGTCACCAATACAGTTTTAAGAACTCAAGCTACATGTATGTTTACCACTTTTTTAAAATCACATTCATTCTTTTAGCTTATTTTTAACTTTCTTCCAAGATTACCCTCACTCTAACTACAATAGCAGCAGCTAACTTATTAAGTGTGCACTTCATCTGCACTATCAACTTTAACCTTTTAAGGCAACTGCAGAGACAGAGAGGAACAAGCTCAAAGAGCTAACAAGCAGAGAGGCTGGGTCTGAACTCAGGTCCGCCTCTCCAGGGCCCTGCTCTTAGCCAGCTACCGTCTTGTTTCCAGCGGCGAATCATGTTCCTGGCGCTTTCAAACATAATGGCATCCCAAGACTTCTCGCAATTCTTCCAGGTGGGCAGTCGGTGTAAAACGATGGAATGCCGAGCGTTCCCGGGTTCTCATTCTCCCTTCGCTTTACGCAGACATTAGAAATCTACTTACCGGCTAGGAAAGCACTAGTGACGCCTTCTCAACACTACCTAGGAGCAGTGGCAGGTGGCACTGAAAGCCCTGTTCCTTCATTAGAGAGGAAGCCAAAATCTGACCTTTCACCTAAAGCTCCACCAACGAGCCTTTCTCCTTTTAACCCACACACTTCCCCCCCAATTCCTCAGCAGCAATTCAGGCCTTCTTCCCCAAGCTCTCACTGCACGTTCTCAATGCTACCAAGAAAAAAAGCACACACACACAAAAGAAAAAAAAAAGCCCGCAGAGACTCCACTGCGCGCGCTCCCACCTAACGCGCACTGACGCCGGGAGGGCTTCACTTCCCAACGCCACGCGTGAGGGCGGGCAGCAGCCACAGCGCGCGACGCTCCGCGGGACCCCCCGCCGACCCGCAGCGGGCCCTCCTCCCGAGGCGCCCCTGCCAGGCTCCCTGCCCCAGCCCCGCCGGACGACGCGGGCCCGGGAGCAGGAACGCGGGACGCTGCTGACAGCCCGGTCCCAGAACTCACGTTTGTACTCGGCCATCAGCCTCTTGAGCGCCGTCCCCGCCATGGCCCCGCAACAGCTGCGCAGAGCGACCTCGCCTCAGCCCGACGCGTCCCTCCTGCCCCGACGCCGGGGCCTGCTTCCGGGTCGCCGTCGCGGGACCAGGATCTCTTCCGGGGCGTGGCGCCTAGCGCGCTTGCGCAATCGCCACGGCGCGCTGTCCGGACGGCGGGAGCCCAACCCGCGGCTCCTGCCCGGCATTAATCACTCTGCGGGGTTGGCTCCGGTCCCGGCACTTCCAGAGGCGTCAGGGCCCTGGTCTTGTAGAGACTTCCCGAACGGCGGCGCCCGGTCTAGTGTGTGTGTGCTGCCTGTTCTGTGCCAGCCGCGCGCGGCCGAAGGGCGGAGGAACGAGTGCTGAGTGGGGGGAGGGCGGGGACGAGGGAGGAGGACGGGGAGCCGGGAGAGCTGCGGGGACGAGGTGGGAGGACCAGGGCGCGGCAGGGATGCGGGGACGGGACGGGGGCTGGGGAAGATGGTCGCGGGGCGGTCCGGGCTGGGGCGGGGGACAAGACGCTCCCACCGCCCCGGGCCAGCCGGGTTTCAGATTGGGAAAGGTGGGAAGGTTGGAAGTCCTGGCGCTTTATCCTCCGCGTCTGTGCGGCTCCGCTGGAGTTCGAGTCCCTTCTGCTCCCAGGGAGCGAGCTGCGGGGAGAGCCCCGTTCGGGACCAGCTGCTCTGCTGAGCAGCCTGCACCCCAAGGCACCCCCGGGAGGGCGGGCGCGACTCAGGTCCTGCCCGAGCCCCTGGGGTGCCGAGAAGACTCCCCAACGCCCCGAGCGTGCTCCCGGCCTCTCCACAGTTGAGGATCCTGTAAGGAGCGAGCCCTTTTCCCATGGTAGCTGCAGTGAATGGGCGTGCTTTCCCGATGGACCTGCTGTGATTTGAACCTACATCGTTACTGACTTCAGAGGAAAGCACAGTGAGTGCTTCGTGGCTGTCCAGTCGGGTGTATACACACACCTTTGCAAACATGCCGCGATGCTCACGGTAGCGTCATATGCTTGATGTTTTCATAATTCTATCAGTCTTCTCCAGACATGATCTTATCGTAGAACACAGTATGTTCTCCAATTATTTTTTAGAAATGTGGTTTACAGCTTCTATCAGGATTAGCTTCAGCTTCAAGTGACAAAAGTCCAAAATAGGCATTGCCGAAACAAGATGGCAGTTTCTACCCTCAACGGGGCTGGTACAACATCCTCAGAGAACCAGGTTCTACAACTCCTCGTGGTCATCGTTCAGTTCTTTATGTGAAATTCAAGTTTAGCTGGGCATCTTGTATTTTAATTGGCTAACTCGTGCCAACTGTCAACTTGGATCAGTCAGTGCTGGAGTCCCGGGGTTTCGAGCAGTGTGTACTACTGCATGGCAGCACACCCTGGGGAGGCCAACTGCACAGAAAATCAGTGTCTTTAGCAACCAAAGTTCTGAAACAGCAAAAGGACCTCACAGCTTAACCCCTTATAGGGTGGGGCTTTCCTGTTTACACCATGAGTTTCCAGCTGGCCACTCCTGCAACACGGCTAATGTGGTAAGTTTCCTGGGAGTGGGGGTTCTTGGGATGTGAACCCTTGGGTGCAAAAACTGGAAAGGTTCCAGTTGGGACCCCAGGCATAGATAACCAAGATAAATAGGGCCTCTCTCCTCCAGGAGCATCAATTTAACCCAGGGATTCTGGGAGTCAAGTTCACATAATTAATGTTCTTGAAAATAGTAATCCCAACATATCTATTACTCCAAATGCACAATTTGCATAAATCTCAAAAAAAAAGGCAATCTCAACAACATACCTTTGCTGGGTGTGGTGGCTCACACCTGTAATCCAAACTACTTGGAAGGTTGAGGCAGGAGGATCACTTGAGGCCAGGACTCTGAGAATCAATCAGCTTGGGCAACTGATTTATGGTTTGGATTTGTATCCCTGCCCAAATCTTACGATTGAATTGTAATCCCCAGGTTGGAGGAAGGGCCTGGTAGGAAGTGGTTGGATCATGGGGGCAGATTTTCCACTTGATGTTGTGGGTTCTTACGGGATCTGCTTGTTTTAAAAGTGTGTAGCGTCTCCCCCTGCTCTCTTTTCCTCCTGCAGCCACGTACGACATGCCTCCTTCCCCTTCATCTTCTGCCATGACTAAGTTTCCTGAGGCCTCCTAGCCATGCTTCCTGTACGGCCTACAGAACTATAAATCAAACCTCTTTATCAGTTACCCAGTCTCAGGTAGTTCTTTATAGCAATGTGAGAATGCACTAATACAGCAGTGTAGTGAGACCCCCATCTCTAAAAATCCTTTTTAAAAAGAACATCCTGCTGGTTCCTCTGTTATGAGGCTGTGGGTGTAAGTTCAAGCCCCGCTGCCCTAAAGCTTCCACATACGCTCCTGGCCATTCTTCTCATCTAACCTGTGGGGCCTGGGACACAGAACTTGCCTCATGGATTCTGGCATCCCCTTTGACCCAGGCTACCTAGGGGATCTGGCAGATGCCCCCACCATCTGTGTATTGTACTTTGATTTGTGCATTCTTCCTAGTGCACATAAATCACGTGGTCCATCTCCACGGCTGCCTTTCATCTTCACCTTGGGTTCACTCAACTGACGGACTAAAACAGGTTTTGTTACACCATTGGATACTGGAAAATTCTTAACGCCAAATCAATGTCCGTTCACTTTCAAAGCAGACAGGTAAATTGTCCATGGCAGAAGGAAAGCAGAAAACAAGAGATGTCCTAGACTAACACCCGAACTCATCTGCCTCTAAAATCCACCCTTCCTTTGTATCTGAAACCCAGGAGAGGAAGGGTAACATGTCACAGCGATACTAGCTCGACAGCTGTCAGCCAGAGGTCTCTGAGGAGAGGATACATCCCTCGGCAGGAAAAACTGGACTAGCATTGGTGGTGTGCCAGGGGAGGGGACGTGAGCTGCCGGGTGAATACTAACCTTCCAGCAGCTAGCTTTTCAAAGTTTCTCAGTGCAGTGGCCACGTGGAATGATCAATTCAGACACTGAATTGTACCAGTACAACCCAACCTTCAAATGCAGTGTTTAGTAGAAGCCAAGAGACAGAATACCAAACTATATTTACTGTATACAGTAGTAAAGGACAACAAATAATATACAAATTGGTGAATAAACACAACAGAGCCAACAAACATCCCACCCAAGCCCATACAGCAAACGGGAAATGAGAACATTTTTAGCAAGATTTCAAGCAAGCAAGAGATGATGGGTTGTTCAGGTGACTATAAAAAGGCAGAGAATGGCCACCAAGCAGCAATGGATCCTCAGGGAAGGACGATAGGCAGAACTATGAAAATGTTTAATTGGTATAGATCCCAAAATATTTCACAGAACTGAAATCACCAGACTAATGCATAAATTCAATACATATTTGGAAAGCAGCACAGCACAAACCCACGAGAAGAACGTGAAGTCATCATTCCATGGGTTCATTTGTAACCACACTTGGAAGTAGCTCTTTTACACAACAACGTAACTGTGAAGTCAGCAATACTTAATCTTACTTTTTTATATATAGACCATAATTATTCATCAGAAGCAAATACTAGAAGAAATCTGAGGCTACAACACCAATATCAAATGAGAAATGTGGGAATTTCTTCAATACTGAGAAGAAGAAAAAGCCAATTTTGGTTGTGCCAATCCTTGCCTGTGTGCCAATGCCAGGTACTGAGCAGGGAGTGGGGTGGGAGGGTGGCAGGGAGGTGGGTCCTGGGCCTCAGACCCCAAGGTCACATGCTCAAGGGCCAGAGAGCCTGTGGAGCCAAATTACCAAAGGACTGTTATTTTTTACCCTTTGAAAAAACATTCCAGTATTCTCCCTTAAACTTCAAATATACTGACAAAGCTTAACTTTGCAGTATTTAGCGTTTTAATCACCTGTGCCTGTAACCACAAATGACAGTCTGGCCTCCCTCCCCACCTTTCCCCCAGCCTGTCCGACAGCCGCACCCCCACTGCAGGAACACCAATGCTCTATGTGACTGGAGTGAGCAGAGGAGAGGCAACCAACTCAGGAGTCAGATCCCTGGCCAGACTGAAAGCGAACATTCAGGCTACAATTTTGGGGTTAAAAAAATGTTACAGGAGAGGGAAAACAAAAATGAAAACAAAAACAAACCCAAAATACCTTGCAACTCATTTTACCTGAACAAAGATAACAATTCTGATTGGCCCAATTTAAGTTACAGATTCATCCCTGCAGATAGTTTTGAGTTGCACTTGGAAGTACATCAAGGAGGAAAATCACTGTGGTGAACGTCCTCGAGTTTCCACAGACGACTTTGTGGTCGGCATGGTCACCATTCAACAGCAATGCAAGGACGGACGGCCCAGGCTGGGGACGGCCCTCTAGAAACCATGCCCCACTAGGCTGCTCTCCGGCGCACCTCCTGTCTGTTGCTGGAACACATCGATGGTGTCCTCGTCCTCCATCTCCAGCTGTCACGGTTGTCACAACAGGCACAGCAAAAGAGAGGGGAGCCTGTTAGTTTTCCTCAGAGGATGAGAGCCTCACTGGTACAAGTGTTCCCTGACACTAGTGACATCATCTGATCACACCTTGGCTCTTGTCGGTCCGGACTGCAGCTCAGCACATGTGTAAGAGGCGTCGCTACATGCTCACCACAGGCCTACAGTTCACCAAGCTCCTAACAAAACTCACAAAAGCATATTCAAAGCTGAAATGTTAGCTGACAGAAAAACTGTGTCTAGGCTGGGCACAATGGCTCACATCTGTAATCCCAGCACTTTGGGAGTCTGAGGCAGGTGGATCACGAGGTCAGGAGTTCAAGACCAGCCTGATTAATATGGTGAAACCCTGTCTCTACTAAAAATACACACACAAAAAAAATAAGCCAGGCGTGGTGCTGCACGCCTGTAATCCCAGCTACTCCAGAGGCTGAGGCAAGAGAATCACTTGAACCTGGGAAGCGGAGGTTGCAGTGAGCTGAGATGGCACCACTACACTCCAGCCTGGGTGACAAAGTGATACTCCATCTCAAAAAAAGAAAAACTGAGTCTAAAAAAATCAACTGAAATGTCTAAAATTCTTATTGAAAATTATACAAAATTAGATTCTAGTTAAGAACATCTGCTGAACAGGACTGAGTCCTAGGACTGCAAGAGCCATGTGCTCTATACCAAGTGCAGGGAAACACGCCATGGAAGCCAAGTCCCCAGCTCACAGAAGGGCCCATCAAGTGGGGGTCCACTGCAGCTTCTCCCTGCCCCTCCTCTTCAAAGCCCAGGCAAGGCAGTGAAACATGCCGGCTCACTTCCCTTCCACACAGGGGGCGCAAAACACCCACCCTGATCTTCCATTCTCTGAGCAAGAGGAAGCTTCTGCCTGGTGCTACAGAGACACAGCAGGACTGGAAGCAGTCATGCTCCCAGACGGAAAGGAGTCCCATCAGGCTGTCTGCCACCCCCGCCCTGCCGCAGACATGGCGGGCTGGAGGGAGAACCCTCAGCAGAACTCCCTCTGCCCCTCAGTCCTCCTGTCCACAGCCTGCCCCCCGACTCCCAGTCAAGCCCTGGAGACTCCATGAGGCCTCCCTGCTCAGCTGATCTCACAGCCTCTCCCTGGTGAACCCTCCCAGAGCTGCCACTGTCTCAGCGCTGTACAGATTTCCTAAAGTAGCTAGAAATTGATATTTACTGCGAAGATGTTTTTGATATTTATTAAATACTAAATATTAAATATTTAAAATATTAAATGTTTTACAAAAATATTTCCACATAAAACACTCCAGTGGATTCTCACAACCTCGAGAGAGAGAAAAAGCAGGTATTAGCTCCATTTACAGACAGACAAAACTGAGACTCCACAAGATGAAGTGATTCTTCACAGGGACATCAGCTGACAAAAGACAAGAGCTGCAGCCTGAACCAAGTTTTAAAAAACGTCTGTTTCCGAGTCCAAAGCTCTTTCCACGACAGTATGATGCACTGCGATGTGATATGCGGAATCTCATTCATTTTACCATGTGACAGGTAGGTGCTTGAGATAAACGACCTGTACTGACTGATAATCAGGTATGATGGCACATTCTGTCCACTCACGTCACTTGCACAAGATGCTTAAAGGGCACAAGAATCAAGCCAGCCACTGAGCTGCAGATGAGCTACAACCGTAGGTGCCCAGACAATGAGTGGGAGGGGCCCCGAGTGCTCCTTCACCCCCGCTTTCCCCACTGTGAGGATGGGCCCGGCACTTGGCCCCATCTCCAGACAGCAAGAATGATGTCTGCAAAGCAGTTTTCTCATTTGAAAATTAATTTTTAAATCTGAAAAGTAAATAATCTAATAATCAAAATCATTAAGGAAAAAGCAGAAGGCATTCTGTATGAGCTCCCATCTATGATTCGCAAATAAGCATATCCCAAATGGCAGTTACCCCACGCAAATCAGAAGTCACCCTGGAACCCACACGAAGCCAGCTCCATACCTGTGCTGGAGTGTCGGTTTCATTAATTGGCTGCCCGTCAAACCTGAATCTAATCTGTCTCATTGACAAGCCCTGAAAAGAAAAAGCAGTCACCATTAAATATTTCCAGATACAGTTTAATTCAAAAACCAAATATTTTAATCCAATATCAGCATTCCAATATGCAGATGTAGGATCCAGTTCAGTATTAAAAACTCGCCAGTGGGCCTCCAATCTCTTTCACGTGGTGCCTGACACCAGTGTTTTCAGAACCCACCGTTCTACCATCTTCTCTCTGATGGGCTAAAACAGGTCATTTTCAACCCTGGTTTTGTTTCACCATTGGATACTGGGAAATTCTTAAAGCCAAATCAGTGTCAGTTCAGTTTCAAAGCAGATAGATAAGTTGTCCATGGCAGAAGGAAAGGAGACATATTTAAACACCAGAAAACAAGAGATATCCTAGACTAACACCCAAACTCATCTGCCTCTAAAATCCACCCTTGCTTTACATGTGAAACTCAGGAGAGGAAGGGTAACATGTCACAATGATGCTAGCTCAGACAGCTGTCCCTGAGCAGGAAAAACTGGACTAGCATTGGTGGTGTGCCAGGGGAGGGGACATGAGCTGCCAGGTGAATACTAACCTTCCAGCAGCCAGCTTGTCAATCAAAGCTGCTCAGCACTGTGGCCTCGCAGAACAGTCAGTTCGAACACCGAATCCTCTCTCTCCTGGTGCCCTGACCTGCCCTGCCTCATCCCTCCCATTTCCTCCCAGAAGTGGAGCAGGGCTTCTACCCTGCTGGCATCACCACCTCCTCCCTTTGCAAAGTTCTCAGCAAGGAACTGGATGTGTGACAATGAGGGACAAGAAAAGAGGCTGCAGAAAGCCGGGGAGCAGTCACCACCATGACTTCGGCCTTGAGTCGGGCAGCAGGAAGGAGAGCACACAGCCTTTCTTGTGTCCTGAGGGAATGCAGAAACATGGCCAGGGACAGAAACATTTCCTCAACCAGCAGTTCTGATTTAACTGAAACAGGACCAACAGTTAAAACGTGCATCTGCTCCCCCTCGAAGCCCCACTGAAATGACGGAAATGCAAAAGGCACAAACAGCAAGGATAAAGAAAATGGGTGCGGGGAAGGGCAGAGCTGTCCCGCTGGGCTGGGCCAGAGGCTACCGAGGCGTGGACGCTGCACTCGAACCCCGGGGCAGAGGCACTGGCAGGCCCCAGCCTGGCAGGCGGAGCTGTGGCAGGCGGCTGACTCTGAAAAGCTGCCTGGAAGCTCACATGCAGAGCCCTCAGGCAGGACCCCTACAACCCTGTACCTCCCACTGCAGCACACAGGAGGTCTGCTTTCTGAAGAGGTGGGTGCAGAGGTCCAGTTCCAAGGCGGAAGCAGGCCCGTGGAAGCCCCTGTCCTTAACCCTGCGCACCAAGCCCCCTGTCTCTCTGGATGTGCCCCCAGGAGGCTGGCTGGAGCCTCGGGGACTCAACTGTCAAACTGCAGCATCTGGGCACCTCCAGAACCCCCAATCCAGACAGGTCACCCCACGTGGATGCACAGCCCTCGGAGCAGAGCCATCCAGGTACACGGCTTCTCAGCAGCTTCTCAGTGCTCCATGCGTGCACACAAGTCAGCCTTCATGAGAGCAGTGAGGGAAAGGCTCCACCGTGCAGCAGCCCAGAGAGGAGGGGAGGCGGCAGGAGAATGCTCCCAACACACATACACACACATGTGCACACACCACACAAACCTGCATACACGATTCAACCTCTATTCTAAGTAAAACATAATACTACCTTCAGAAAACAATAAACTGCTACTGAGGATGGGGGCGGTGGCTCACATGTGTAATCCCAGCACTTTGGGAGACAGAGGCAGGAGGATCACTTGAGCCCCAGGGGTCAAGGCTGCAGTGAGCCATGATCTCACCATTGTGCTCCAGCTTGGGGAATAGAGAGAGACCCTGTCTCAAGAAAATAAATAAATTGCTACTGAGAAAAAAAGAACACTCAAAGAACAGAAAGAAAAAGGAACTTTTGGAAATTAAAAATCATGACAGAGATGAGAATGTCCATAGAAACTAGAAAGACGAAGCTGAAATGACCTCCCAGAAAGGAGACCAACAGCAACAGGAAGCCCAAAGCAAAACGGGAGACAAAGTATCACATTTACAATAGCTAGGACAACTAGCAGCAGGAGGAACAGGAACTCCAGAAAGAGGGAACAGAGTCTGGAGAAGCACACAAATTATCAAAGGAGTAACATAAGGCATACTTCCTGAATAAAAATCAACGTCCAGAGCCATAAAGCACCCAGCAGCATGAGTGAGAAAATCGCCCAGCCCTGAGGCCATGATAAGGAAATGCTGGAATGCCAGCATATGGTCCAGACACTTCTGGAGAAAAACAAGTCACAAACAAGCACAGAAAATCAGAATCCACTCAAATTCTCACTTTTTTTTTTTTTTTTTTTTCCCAGATAGGGTCTTGCTCTGCCCCCGGGCTGGAGTGCAGTGGTGTGACCACAGATCCCTGCAGCCTCCACCTCCTGGGCTCACGGAATCCTCCCACCTCAGCCTCCTGAGTAGCTGGGACTATAGGCTTGCACCACCACACCTGGCTAATTTTTTAAATGTTTGGTAGAGACAGGGTCTCCCTGTGTTGCCCAGGCTGGTCTTGAACTCCTGACCTCAAGTGATCCTCCCACCTCAGCCTCCCAAAGTGCTGAGATTAGAGGCATGAGTCACCATGCCTGTTTTTTGTTTTTTTTTAACATTGGGAGCTATTCTCATGACTGACCTCTAAAAGAAAAAAGAAAAAAAAAGTTTTAACCAGGAATACTGTATGCAGCCACATACTGAAGTGTGAAGGTTTGTAAAAGCAAAAGTCGCTTTCAGCCATGCAGTGTCTCAAAGACACTGCCCTTCTGTGCCCTTTCTGACACGACCCTGGAGGATGTGCTCCATCACAAAAGGGAGGAGGGCAAATCGGGAAACACCCAGGGGAGCGCCAAGTTTCTAGAAGGATTTGAGCAGGAGGCCCTGGGACCACGACTGTGCAGCCGGCCTCACAAGCAGCAGTGCAGGTGGGGGAGGCAGGGCGCCCCGGAGAGCAGTGGGAAAGCAGAGCCCCTGAGGCATGTACACGGCCCCACAGGCCTGCCATCCCGCCGCACAGCAGACAACACGGGCACCCAGGAAGTCACACACACAGTGACCACCAGCCCAGGCAGCACAAACTCCAACAAGGGCCAGGGTCCAGCACCGAGCAGAGGCTGGGTCGCTCGCTCTGCTGGGAAGAGCAGGGCCTGCGCGTCCGGACGCTCAGTCTCACCTTTTGCAGGTGAAAATAAGATCTGCCTTCAGCAAACAGAAGTCGAGGGGCTGCTTGCCAACAGCGTGCAACGCACGCAGTGGCCAGTGACTGCCCCTGACCAGCAGGGTTCAGAAGCGCGAGGCAAAAAGGAGGAAATCTAACTGAAAATCCATAGGCAAGAGAGTCAAATGAAAGGGTGACGAGTTGCTGTATTTTCAAATCCGCTAAAGAAAAGCAGCCTCCAGGCCCCACTCAGGGAAGCAGGGCTCCCCGGGGAAAGGCACCTGGCTGCAGGGCCAGACCCCCAGCACTCCAGGCAGCAGCCAGCAGGCAAAGCCCATAGGAGTGGCCTGGAGAGGGACCCCCTGGCCCAGGGCGAGTCCTCCGAGCATTACCAAGAACGACTGACAGGCACACACACCAAGTCCACAACCACACAGCAACCAGAAGGCGTCCGCCCAGCAGGGCACTGCCAGTGAGGCAGCTCATTATCCTGAAACTGGAGGAGGAGAAAGAATCACATACATTTTTTCCTTTCCTAACAAAAGGGAAAACCACACTGCAGATGAGGGCACTGTCTCTCCAGGGCCTTACAGCTCACACGGGAGGACAGGGTGACAGCGCCATGGGGCACACGCCACCTGCAGCTCCAGAAAGGCCAGCCCCGGGCAGGGCTCCCGACAGCCTTCAGCGTCACGGACTTCACAGATGTCAGTGCCCCATGAAGAACGCAGCCCCCGGGAAGCCACCTTGTCAGGAAGAAAACCCCAGCATGCTCGTCTGAGCCTCCAGGTGCCCCCGCCTCATAAAAGGCCATGGGGACACAGAACAGCAAGCCCAGCCTGGGCCAAGTTTACAACACAAGCACCCGCCCACCCGCCCATCCGTGAAGAGGGCGCCTCAAGCAGCTGCATCTGGGTCCGGCCCCGACGCTCATGTTCCCGGGATGCCTGGAACCCACGGGACCTGCACACACGCGGGGGGCCGTGCAGGGGGCCCAGGCGCGCACCTGCCTCTCGCAGTAGGCCTTCATCAGCTTGCTCAGCGGCGTGTGCCTCTTGATCTTGAACTGCACCACGGAGCCGTCCTGCCCAGCCACCTTCAGGTTGATGTGGTCGTTCTCCGTCTTCACGCCCTCCTGCAGGAGACACCAGAGACTGGCCTCAAAACTGTCTCACAATAACCTCGGCTTTACAGGGCAAGTCTTTAGGTAACCATTGGCTCTTTAAAGTCATTAAAGCCAACCTAGTTCTTAAAATCCTCCAGCAAGTCAGAATCGCTCATGTGACTGTTTTATTTTTACACAGAATTTATTTTTAACTTCCACTTGTTAGGCATCTGTGGGTAAAACAATGCAAATCTACAGTCCTCTAACAGGGTTAATTCAAAGAAAACCTGTTTAATAAATCTAGGGAAAAATCAGAGAAAATCCATCTTTATTTTAAAGTTATTATTGTGGGCTGGGCACAGTGGCTCACACCCATCATCCCAGCACTCTGGGAGGCTGACGTGGGAGGATGGCTTGGGCCCAGGAGCTTGAGACCAGCCTGGGCAACACAGCAAGACCCCATCTCTTTTTTTAAAATTATTCTTACGAAAGCAGTAAAAACACACATCCACAAGTCACTGCAGCTATACAGCACTAGTAAAAGAAACCAAAAACAGAACAAAACGCTGCAACTCAGAGGAACCCTGTGGGACATTAAAGTGGGGACCTCAGGAATCCAACTGAGGAGAGCCGCTTCCCAGGGCGGTGGCCAGGCTCCTTCTCACTGCCCTGTCATCGGCAAATGTGAAGGGAGCCACCTCTGAGTACTTTCTGGTTTCAAACGGTCCCATCTGAGCAGCAGCACGTGGTAGTACTTTACTTTTTAATTCACGCCATGCTTGAAGCTACTCAGCAATGGCAAAATCAGGGTGTCTTGTTGCCTGGAAATGCACTTTGAGTTGAGGCAAGAAGCTGATGTCAACAGACTGGGAGCCAACTTCGGGGCAGCTCAGTCTGAGCAGGAAAGTGGGGCGCCCCTCAGCTGGCCTGCACTGCCGGATGAAGCATCTGAGTGAAGTGATGAGGCATGGCCCTCTGGGTCATTCTGAGTATCAAGTCTGGAGCACCCTGGCACCTTCTCACCCTACGCTGAGGTGCTCCCTGAGGGAGCACTGTGCATTCCCTGGAGACCCTTGGGGAAGCATGGTGCTCTCTGTCAAGGGAGCTAGAATGGCCTGTGAGGGGCCCTGGAACTGAGGAGCTCCAGCCACAAGCCTGAAGATGGATATTCTGGGGTGGCACTCACCCCCCAACTCCAGTCTTGGACCAGGTATCCCTGCCCACTCCAGGGAGGCTGGTGGCTTCGCAGCCGCTTGAGTGGTGAGCTGGCACACCCCTCATTCCCCCATCCCCTCAGCCCCAATGTGGCCTCCAGCGCAGAAAAAACTGGCCCAGGAAGTGAGGGCATGCAGACCGCTCTGGGCAGGATGTTAGTGGGGACCCATGCATGAAGCCCCTTCACTTTAGGGAAGGTAGATATGGGTGTGTTCAAAGGCACAGACGCAGGACCCAGACCTGCACACACGAGCAATGGCTGCAGCCCCGGGAGAGGCTGGGGCAGGGCAGGGCCAGCCACAGCACCTCTGCCCCGTAATAGACAGAGGCCAGGAATGGACAGTCTGTCCCAGACCCCTGGTGAATTCCTAATAAACAAGTGAACTCATGAGTTAAAAAATGAAGCCCTGGGCCAGGTGCAGTGGCTCATGCCTATAATCCCAACACTTTAGGAGGCCGAGGCAGGCAGATCACAAGGTGAAGAGATGGAGACCATCCTGGCCAACTTGGTGAAAACCTGTCTCTACTAAAAATACAAAAATTAGCTCAACGTGTTGGCAGCTGCCTGTAGTTCCAGCTACTCGGGAGGCTGAGGCAGGATATCACTTGAACCTGGGAGGTGGAGGTTGCAGTGAGCTGAGATCGCGCCACTGTACTCCAGCCTGGCAACAGAGTGAGACTCCATCTCAAAAAAAAAAAAGAAAAAAGAAGCCCTAAAAACATGGACCCCAATTTGCTACAGTCAGTCCTCTGCCTCAGCTATCCAGGGAAGTCAGAACCATTCTCCACCTGACCCAAAAGCTCTTCTTCCCAGCACCACTGGGTCCCAGGGTCCACTTCTTCCCCTTCCTCAGAGGCCCAGGGCAGAGCTGCTCCCACACGCATGGAGGGGACCCACCCCAAGTGGGTCCGGTCAGGTAGCAGCCACGCAGTCATTCTGGAATTGAACAAGTGTTTTCAACTGAATTGACCCGAAGTTGACCACATGGCAGAGCTAAGTTTAAACACTGCTGAGAAAATAAGTATCATACGTCTTTTACATTTACTCTTCATTAAGAGGAAGCTACCTTCAAAAACATAAAGGACATTTATCCTTAGCCTAGTTTTTTTTTATTTTTGTTTTTTTGAGTCTGAGTTTTACCGTCACCCAGGCTGGAGTGCAGTGGTGCGACCTTGGCTCGCTGCAACTTCTCCCACCCTGGTTCAAGTAATTCTCCTGCCTCAGGCTCCCAAGTAGCTGGGATTACAGGAGTGTGCCAACATACCTGGATAATTTTTTGTATTTTTAGTAGAGATGGGATTTTCATCATGTTGGCCAGGCTGGTCTCAGACTCCTGACCTCAGGTGATCCACCCGTATATTTGGCCTAGTTTTAACAAGTATTTAAATATTCCAACGACCCCAGGGTGGAAGAAGTTTGAGTTCACTGGAGTCAAAATGTAAAAAGGAAAGGTCACTCCGAACACATCTGGATAGAGGTTTCCCTGGAGTTTCACTACATAGCAAGCGGAGACTTCCACAGAGACCCGGACCGTGGTTCCAGGAGGTTCAATCCCCGTTTCCACTAGTGTCTAGCACTGAGCCTCCACTCTCACTTGTAAAGGGAGGGTGGTCACCTCCAGGACCAAGCCAGTATCAGAGACAGCCTCCTTAGAGAACCTTCAGCTCTAGTCATCTTCCACTGGGATATGACACAGAGGTCGACACTGCGCACCAAGGGCTTCAGAAGGTTCTCTTGTTTTTTTTTTTTTTTTTTTTTTTTTTTGAGACGGAGTTTCGCTCTTCTTACCCAGGCTGGAGTGCAATGGCGCGATCTCGGCTCACCGCAACCTCCTTCTCCCGGGTTCAAGCAATTCTGCCTCAGCCTCCCGAGTAGCTGGGACTACAGGTGTGTGCCAACATGCCCAGCTAATTTTTGTATTTTTAGTAAAGACGAGGGTTCACCATGTTGACCAGGATGGTCTCGATCTCTTGACCTCGTGATCCACCTGTCTCGGCCTCCCAAAGTGCTGGGATTATAGGCGTGAGCCACCGCGCCCGGCCGCAGGTTCTCTTTTTTAAATCGTGGTCAACGTGACTACAGACCCTCCCAAGGACAGGCCAGAGCACCTTAGTGAAGGGTGCACACCCCAGGACTGAGACAGGGATGCACACTCCAGCGTGGCAATCGAGGAAACTAAAACACACCCAAGGCTGGCTAAGGAGGGGTGGGCATGCCTAGGGGGTGGGCGCACACTGGGGAACGCCATGGGGAACGGTGGGTACACAACGGGAGGCCCGATGGGGAGGGGGTGGGCGCACACGGTGGGGGATGCGATGGGGAGGGGCGGGTGCACACGGTGGGGGGGATGCGATGGGGAGGGGTGGGCGCACACTGGGGGCATGGTGGAGAGGGGTGGGTACACACGGGGCGCGATGGAGAGGGATGGGTATCCACTGGGGACACGATTGGGGAGTCTCGAAGAGAGATGGGCACACACCGGGGGATGCAATGTGGAGGGGTGGGCGCACATGGATGGGGAGGAGGGTCGAGAAGGGGCGGGATGGGTACACACTGGGGGCACGATTGGGGGTCATGAAGGAGAGGTGTGGGCAAACACGGGGACATGATGGGCGCACGATGCGGAGAAATGGGTGAATACGGGGGGCGCGATGGGCGCCCTGGAAGGATGGCAGTGCTGTTCGCAAGGGCCAGGCCCCTCAGAACACGCCCATCCGGGGTAACCCCGATCCGTGCGCTCAACAGGCGACCCGGGTTCTGCTTAGCTCTCATTCCTCGGTGCCTATATGGGGGGTTACCCACACCAAGGGCGATGCCGCAGGAGAGGGCGACGCCGCCGGGCAATGACTCAAGAGAAGGCCACGCAAAGACGCCTCGGGGACGCTGCCGGGGCGGGATCGGAAGCTGGGCCGCTGCTTCTGCCCAGCGCGGGGTCCACACCCGGCGGTCGCCGAGGAGCAAGACCTGCCGCTTCCCGGCTGGGGAGGGGCGGGGCGTGGGGCAAGGGCGTGGCCAGGCCCGGCGGGGGCGGAGCTGGAGGCACCAAGCGCTTCGGGGCGGGGCGCGCCCTAGGCGGTCCCACTTCGGGGCGGGACACTACAAGGGGTGGGGCGCGGGGCGGAGCCGGGCTAGGGGAGGAGAGGGGCGGGGCCCGGCGGGGGGTGGGGAGGGGGCGGAGTCTGGCTGGGGGCGGAGCCGAGCTGGGGGCGGGGCGCGCCGCCGAGCGCCGCCGGGCGGGGGAGGGGAGCGGCGAGCCGGGCGGGAGCGGGGGAGGGGAGGGGAGGGACGGGAGCGCGGGCGGCGCCGCCGGCCTGGGCGCGGGTCCCCGAGGGCGCCGCGGTCTCCTGGGGCCGACGGGGAGCGGCGCGCGGCGGCGAACGCGCCCAAGACGCCCGCGATGGTCGCGCGTGCAGACGGGGGCGCCGCTCTTACCTTGGGCTTCTCCTCGGACATGGCTGCTCGGGCGGCGCGGGCAGGCGGCGCGGGGGAAGCAGCGCGGAGCGGACGAGTCACGCTCACGGCCCCGCCGCTCTCCCGCCGCAACTGCGCGCGGGGCCGCGCTTTTCCCCCAAATCCCGGCGCGCTCGTTGGCCGGCGGGGGGTCACGTGGCCGCGCGCGTGCACGAGGCGCGCTCCCTGGGCGTCGGGCGCGCGCCGGCCTGGCCGCGGCTCCGGGCGGTTGGAGATGCGTCACGGGGCGGGTCCCGCGCGACCCCGGCGGGCGCGGACGGCCGAGGGCCCGGGGACTCCTGCCCGCCTCCCCTCCCGCGCCCTGGCCCCGACTCGTTTCCCGGGGACAGCGTTCCTGGGGTGCGGGAAGTGAGGCCGGGGCCGCCGGGACGTGAGGCGGAGGGGGAGGCCCCGGGGGCGACGTTCCCTCTCGGGAGGCGCGGACGGGGCGGATCAGGCCGGCACCCGGGGCCGGTGGGGGCGCCACGCGCCTCCCGCAGCCGCAGCGTCGTGTCGGTTGTCGGCCGGGGCCGGGCTCCCTGGGCCGCCGCTCCCGCAGGGCTGCGCGGGGCCCTCCGCACCCGGCCTCCGGAAGGCACGTGTTACCTGTGAGGAAACTGAGGCACTAGGCGGTCAAACCATCCCCGCGTCAGCGCTGCGGGCGGGACGGGGCTGGTGGGCGCGGGGAGCCTCCCCGGCCCTGCCCGGCCCCCGAGCCCGAGCCCAGCCTCCCGGCCGGCGTGGGCATGAGGGCGGGCACCCCGGCGTCCGCTGACCGGCCGGGGCGTGGCGGAGGCCGGACCCCACGGGCTCAGCTGGGACGGGGCAGGGCCGGGATTTGAACCCAAGCGGCTGAGCGCGGTCCCAAAGCCATAGGGACAAGTCTTCAAGGACCGTGACTTCACAAACCGCCTTCAACTCTTAACAATTCACTTCCTTGCCTAGAGCCCCACGTGGGAGCGGGAAGGCCGGTGATGTCTCTCGGCGGGCGGGTCGGAAGGTCAGCCGGGGTCCCAGGGTGTGGTCCCTTCTTTCTAGAACCGAGAACCCAAGGCCTCTCGGAGGATGCGGAGGTGGGCGGCCGGCCGAGGCCGTCCTGGGAGCGGGGGCCCTGCAACCAGCCCCTTGTGAGCGGAAGCGAGGCCTCGGAGCCCTTAGAGTGCTGGTGGGGAGAGCCCCGGGGCAGACGGGGTTCGTAGAGCTACCGACTCCGAGACGCTGTTAGTCATAAAACATAACACGACCGTGCGTAGCACAGACACGTTACATTGCGACCGGCGGTGGATGAGGGCAGCCCCCTCAGTGTTGTGCAACTGAGAAACACGCAGCTTAGAATTGGTGAGACGTGGAGCCCAAGTGTGTTGCCACTCAGAGTTAAGCCAGGTGCATTCCTCTGACAAAAAGCCGTGTCACGAATAACAAAGATGCTCAGATGACATTAAGTTTTAAAGAGCAGGCTAAAAGACGATGGTGGTCTGAATTCAAGTCATGCCGTCTGTGAAGAAAGGAGGCTGCTCCCGCACGCTGACCTGCCCCACATCCTTCCTCTGACCACAAAGATGCAAAACGGCTCTCTTGCAGCTGCGGGGACACAAAGGGCACTGCTAGTGGACCAGACACCAAGAGGTTTCTGAAGGACAGCAGGACACAGCCAAAGAGGACCGAATGGACAGAGAAACCAGAGCTCAGGAAAAACCAGGGCCTACCATGAGCACGGGGCAGGGAACCGAGACTGCCGGAGCCCCTCTGCGGTGCCATCACGCCTGGTGACGGTCCCAGGAAGACTCCCAAGAAGTCAGGAACTAGGAAATGAGTAACAGGATTGCTGACGTGAAAGCTCGACCCACGTGCTGACTAGGAGAGGGGTCCTGGCTGAGGACACAACTGCCAAAGTCACAGGACTCTCCCATGACAGAGAACTAAAGAGAGGGAAGGTGGGAAGCCAGGACACGGCATCAGTATAGGAAGGGCGGTGTCCCCCTGACAGCTGCAGAAGGAGAAGGTGGGAAAAGGAAGGCAGGACAGGGGCTCACCCCTGTAATCCCAGCACTTTGGCAGGCTGAGGCAGGTGGATTTCCTGAGGTCAGGAGTTCGAGACCAGTCTGAGCAACATGGTGAAATCCCGTCTCTACTAAAAATACAAAAATTAGCCACGTGTGGTGATGCGTGCCTTTAATTCTGGCTATTTGGGAGGCTGAAGCTGGAGAATCACTTGAACTCAGGAGTGAGAGGCTGCAGTGAGCCGAGATCACACCACGGCACTCCAGCCTGGGTGAAAGGACGAGACCCTGTCTTAAACATAAGAAAAGAAAATTCTCTGAACTAAAGAAATATTTGACTCCATAAACGGAAAGGACCCCTGAGTATTGAATGGCTGAGAGAAGATGGACACTGGGATGGGTGGTGTGTGAGGAGAAATCCCTGAAGCGTTCAGAGAAGTTTCTGCTTACAGTTAGGGAGGACTGGTTGCCTCAGACAAACCCAATAAAAATAGCCCAAAAATCGGTATAAAATATTTTGAAATCTGTTTAAGGATATCGGATAGTTACCAAAACAAATCTTTCTCTGAGGAGCAAAGACCTCCCACCACCTCAAAAAACAGGCAAGTTTTTTTTTTTTTCCTTTGAGGCATTTGGTGATAAGTATCCTGTATTATTCAGCCTAGACTTCCGTAAAAATAATGCAAACCACGGATAGTTATTTCCCAGCCTCCAGACAGTTCTGGAGACTGGAAGCCCAAAATCAGTGAGCCATGAGGGTTGATATCCAGTGAAACCTCTCCTCCCAGCTTGTATGTGGCCACCTTGGCATGTTCTCACATGGCCTTTCCCCTGTGTGTGCAGACAGAGAGATCTCTGGTGTCTCTTCCTCCTTTTACAAGGACACCAGTACTGTGGGATTAGGGCCCCACACTTATCACCTCCTTAAAGGTCCTATCTCCAGATGAAATCATGTGGCGGGTAGGGCTTCAATATGCGAATGCTGGGAGACACAATTCAGTCTCACATGTGCACTGGGAAGAAGTTGACACTCTGAGTGAGCTTTTGAGTCTTATAGGATTGGGGAGACAATAATTGGGCATGAGGGGTGACAGCCCTCAAGATAGGCTCTGTTGAGTGACCCAGACCTTCAGCTGAGAGCACTGAGTGCTGCAGTAGGGGAGGAAGGCTGAGGGGTGAATGGATCATCCCTCTCAAAGCCTGAAATCAAGCTTCCAAAGGGCTCAATCCCAGATTCAACTCATCTGCCCTCTTTCCCATGGCCAGCCTGAAGCAAAAGGAAATATACTGAGGAAAATAGCATCATCCAGGGTCTCAAACTAACAAAAATATTTCCATACACAATATCCGGATTTAAAGTTTACAAAGAAAACCAGAAGACAAATGATCCAAAGCCAAAATATATATAAGAAATAATCCCATGGAATTATGTCAACAGGATATTGACATTATACGTAGACTTTAAATGAATGTGATTAATATGTTCAAGAAAATAGATTATGAGATGAAAATCTTCAGCAGAGAAGTGGGGTATATAAAAAAGAATCTAATGGAAATTTTAAAACAAAAAATCCACTAGCTGAAGTTATAAATTCAATGGATATGTTTGAAACAGATTAGACACAGTGAAAGAGATAATTAATGAACTGAAAGATAGGTCAGAAGAAAATATTCAGTGTGGGCGCAGTGTAATCCTAGCACTTTGGGAGGCCAAGCTGGTTGGATCACCTAATGTCAGGAGTTTGAGACCAGCCTAGCCAACATGGCTAAACCCCATCTCTAATAAAAATACAAAAAATTAGACAGTTCTTCAGCCCTTGTTTAAAAAAAAGAAAAAAAAATGTAGGTGTGGTGGCAGGTGCCTGTAATTGCTTGAACCTGGGAGATGGGGGTTGCAGTGAGCCAAGATCACGCCATTGCACTCCAGCTTGGGTGACAGAGCAAGACTCATGTCTCAAAAAAAAGAAAAGAGTATATTCTGACAGAATCAGAGAGAGAAAAAATATGGGCAGTACAGCAAAAGGCCTAAGAGATATGCAATATTGTGAAAAGGCGTAATGTAATTTTTTTTTAGATGGAGTCTCACTTTGTTCTCCAGGCTGGAATGCAGTGATAGAATCTCAGCTCACTGCAACGTCTCCCTCCTGGGTTCAAGCTATTCTTCTGCCTCAGCCTCCTGAGTACCTGGGATTACAGGTGCATGCCACCATGCCCAGATAATCTTTGTATTTTTAGTAGAGACAGGGTTTCACCATGATGGTCAGGCTGGTATCGAACTCTTGACCTTGTGATTTGCCCACCTCAGCCTCCCAAAGTGCTGGGATTACAGGTGTAATGCATTTATAAAATGGAGTTACACAAAGAGAGAGAATAGGCCAGCAGTGATAGTTGAAGAGATAATAAGGGAATTTGTCAAAATTGATCAAAGGTAACAAAATACAGATTACAAATATACTATAAACCACAATCAGAATAGATTAAAAAAAAAAAAAAAAAAACGAAAAACTTGGTTACATATAAAACCTGAAAACCAAAGACAAAGAGAATAGAAGCTGTAGAGGGGGAGACCCTGCAAGTGCCATGGCAAGGATCTGAAGCTTCAGCCCATTCCCATATAAATATTGAATTAGAAAAGAATTAGAAATGTAGGCACATAGTTATTCCTTTATATAATCACATATAATCTTATAATTATTCACTTATAATCAGAAAGATACATACCCAGTATAATCTTTAATTTTACTAATGACTATCAGGTTATGCAACATGGAACTGAGGTGACATTGTGAACAAAGTGATCCTAAGGCAAGATGCTCTAAGCCCTGTCACACCTGCATAAGGGCTGCTGGAGGGCACCTCGGGTGTGCAGCAGCGCCAGAGCTGGGAAGGCGCCCGCTGTTTAGCCAGCTAGGGAAGATGTCCAAAATGGCTGAGACATCTCCTTCCTGGGGAAGTTGGGAGAAAACTCCACTTCTCCAAGCTCTTGCGGTGGGCCTGACGGCTGTCAGGGAGGCCCACAGACATCCGGGGTCTTAACTGCCTCTGTGTGATGCTGGCTTCAGTGGTCAAGTCCATGTCCACTCTCACGCCCTGCTTCTGCACCTGCTTTCTCTTCTTCTCAGAAGATAAGAATTAATGTCCTTGACATTTCTGATAAATATGTGAAGAGCG